TGAAGGATTTGTAGAAACCAACAAGGATTATCACAACTTGATCGACCCCACATTAGACTCAGAGTCATTGGCGAGTTGAAGCAGCATGACGGATCAAAGGTCGACTACTCAACAATAGCGACGGATTGCAGTTGGTAGCTCGCAAAGGCTTCGACGAGGACGTCGAAGGAATAAGTGGGGGAGAATGTTACAGACAAAGCTGTAAACAGGGTGTTCGATGTAATGCTCGTGTATGTCCATGTCTTTCGGTTTTGTTCATGCTTTGCACAACATATATGGGGCTTGTAGTAAGCTTGACAACCCCATTTTGGTTGGCTTTTATAGCCGTTTCAAAATGGTAAATGCAGGTTGTGCAATTGTCGCATAGAGGCAAAATTGCTTAGAAACAAGTCATCCATGCAGTCATTTTGGGGGTTTTCTAGCTCCTTAGAGTGGTGCGAAGTGTCAACCGGCACAACACCCAGGAACTACTCAGGTGGCATAAGGCTGCATGGGCCTTTAGGGTAGTGTCTAGGGCTGGTTCGTTGCTTTGTTCCGCAGCAGTATCGTGTGAGTACTTGTCGAAACTTTTGTTTATAGCGGACCACCTTGGACCCTTTGTCGCGTTACCGTTCAGAGCTTTGCAAAGTCTATGTTTAAAATTTGCGTTGCCTATCAAGTGTTTGCTGAAATGATTGCTTGTGGATCCCATGTTAAACACTTTCTCTGACCCGTCTTCTCTTTTGTTGGTTCTTAAGGGACCATAAGAGATTTCGAGAAGGCTGACTCTTTGCGGATGGACGCACAAGAGTGTCGCACGATTTAGGCAAAATCAGCTAAGTCCGTGATAGTCTCCAACTCACTTTAAATGTATTCATAATTTATTAAAAGTACTTCAATAGTAAAAGTTGTCCAACATAATTACCCTAGTTTAGTGTATAACTCCTAAATTTTGAATCTTGCCCAATCAACATATGATGATTGTATGTAGTGATGAAAAGTATTAGTTTGTCATTGACCTCCCATCTCTGTATATGTTTCCTGGCCATATGGACACCTTGATGTTGTCTGTCATCTAATGTTGATCTTTCCTCTCTTCCAGATGTGGCAATCCAGCATGCTGATTGGAATGCTTCCAAAATAAGGGAGAAGCTCTGTCATGACATTGAAGCTCATGCAGCTTCTGTTCGTGGTGTTAAATTATCTGAACTTAAAGCTTCTTACGAGGTTTAATGAGTTATTTGAGTTATCTTGTTCATTCAATATATTTTCTATATTCATTTTTCTTCTTTGGGAAAATTTTTAAGATATAGGCTAATTGAGTATGTCATCCTTACAGAAGAAAATCACTGAAGCCCTTGTTCAACCTGTGGAATCACTGTTTGATTCTGCTGCTCAAGACATTTGGGCATCTATACGAGAACTTTACAGGCATGAGACTGAGAATGCTATATCAGGGTATTCATCTTCGCTTGCTGGTTTTGAACTGGACCAGTCTACCTTTGATAAGATGATGGCAGATCTAAAGAATTATGCAAGAGGTGTAGTGGTAAGAAAAATAAGAGAGGAAGCAGGCAAGGTTCTGATTCATATGAAGGATAGGTATCCTTCCGTTCTGCAGTTTCTTCTTCAGTGCCCAATATTTCTCCTAAATTTATGGTTCCAATGCTTCCAGGTTTTCAACAGTATTTAGCCATGACAAGGATTCCATGCCTAGGGTCTGGACTGGGAAGGAGGATGTTAGGAAGATCACAGAGGAGGCACGTGCTGTGGTACTGATAATTTTATTTGTTTTCTATATAATATTTGCCAAATTTTTGTGCTTGTGTTTGTTTGGTAATCCTTATGGTTATCCATTTTCTTACAAGCATAAATTCTTTAGAAATATCCTATGTGCAGGCTCTGAAACTTTTAGCTGCAATGGCAGCCATCCGGCTGGATGACCAGCCAGATAAGATCGAGAATATTCTTAGTTCTTCTCTTATGGATGGTCCTGTTATAAAAAATAGAACCATAGAGGCTTCTAGAGATCCTCTTGCCTCAAGCACATGGGAGGGGGTATGTTATGTGATCAATTAATGATTTTCAACGCAACTTAAAATTGTAAAAGTAATAAAGCACTGACAAATGCAAAATTAACCAGGTGCCTCCAGAAAATACGGTGATTACACCAGTGCAGTGTAAATCAATTTGGAAGCAATTCAAAGTTGAAACAGAGTATACTGTCAGCCAAGCAATTTCTTCACAGGTAATTGTTGTTTTCATTAGCATCATCTATCTCAATGAAAAACAAAATTAACTGCCTTCATAATTTTCTTTCCTTTATTCGGTCTTTGTTTGATTATATAGGTAGTTTTATGTTCTGTTGAGTTTATTTGCTGCATAATGGGTCATCTAGGGAAAATATTGGATCATCTATGACGTTGGTACTAGATCTTTGACATGTTTATTGTTTTACTTAATAGAACCAAGTATGTTTTCTTCAAGAAGTATGACATTGAAGAACTTGAGCTGAATGCAATGGATGCTGACATTTTAATTTATGGTATGAACATAGATTGGAAGTTTAATGAAACCATTCGTGTTTCTTACGAGGTATATGATGTGGGAAAATGCTTTTTGCAAAATGCTTATGTTTTAAAAGAAGTCTTTGCTTGTTACTTTCTTTAAGAAGTCAATTCAAATGTAGTAACTTATATGCCCAAAACTGTTTCCTAGCTGATCTTGTGTATAAAATTGTAGTAGTAAAGTAAAGAATCTAATAATTAGTTAACTATAACTGAGGTGAAATGGCTTGTTTGATGTTCCTTTTTTTTTTAAATGAAGACTTGGCATATCTGTTCCGTTGCAAAAAGTCTTTATTCATTCCCTATTCAACTTCTATTATATGTCTGAATGCAAAGCTTACGTATTTGTTCCCTATTCAAAAGTGTCTGAGTTTTACTCGAAATATTTTCAACTATCAAATATAGTCACTTTAAAGGAAGCAAAATAATTTCATATAAGGGATGAAAAACAAATTCAATGATTCTAGAGGATGTCACATTCCTTTTCAACGCGCTCCTAGTTGAGTTAGGAAAGGAAAGGGCTAACCAAGCTATCTCACTAAGTCATAATAAAGAATCATATCTCCATAGTTCTAAATGTCTCTTTCAGTGGGTTTTTGGAAGTAACAAGATCAACCAAAAAGGAAAGTTTCTCTCAGGTTCATGGTTTCAACCTAACAGCATGTCTAAAGCATAGATCACTAATGCAATGCATTTTTGTAATTGTTGTGACCATCTTATTCAGGTAGTAATGTATGTATTTTTTTATTTATGAACATTTTATGAAGTCAGCTGGTGAAATAGTTAAAATCTCATATGTTATTTTTTTCTCTCCATCTCAGGAAGCTTTCAAACACAATAACAGTTGGTTGCCTCCTTCATGGGCAATTGTTACAATTGCGATCCTAGGTTTCAATGAATTTATGATGCTTCTTCGGTAATTATTACTATTATAACTTTGTTGCATAATTTGAGTTAACTAAATCTCGATTGCTTCTTTGTTTGTCTAAATTTTGTCCCTCGAGTGATACAAATTTTCCCTTGCTGATGAACAGGAATCCTTTGTATCTTGCCATACTATTTATACTTTTCATTCTGTCGCGAGTAGTATGGTATGAACTCAATATTGCTGGAGAATTTCAAAATGGCACGGTAAGAGGATTCAGATCTTGTTGTGAGTTCTTTCCTGTATCTTGTTGACTGTGACAACAATTTGTCATTCATGCTATTGACAGTATTCTATATTCCTTTTTAAAATAATTATTTTCTTGTTAGCACATTGTTCTTTAGATCATGGTCCGGAAAAATGTTTCATCGACAGTGAAACTGTAGTTGGATTTAGACAAGTTTTGGACCAACTTATTCAGCAAGAGTGAAAGATCATCTGTTCATGAAGAGCTCACAATGGCATCAAAGTATTTTGTAGCATTTCTAGGTTTATGTGGCTCATTTGTTCATAGAACGAATCGTTCAAAACAAATAATTTTCTTGCTTCTCTTATGAGGTTGCCTGAATCTATACTCCACCTACAATTAAATGCCATCTCACACACACTTTATATTTTCAGCTTTCTGGACTTCTTGCAATATCAACAAGATTTTTACCATCAGTTATGAACATTCTAAAAAGAGTTGCTGGTGAAGGTAACAGACATCATCAAGCTGCACAATCTTCGCAACAATCCCTGCCCTCCACTGCACAGACTCCTAGGAATCTGGAACCGGAAATGTGATCGTGCATCTGATAATATCGTTGCAAAGAAATTGTAAAGTAATCAAATGTATATGTACAGATGTGTATTTATATATAAATTAAAGGTTGTTTAATTAAGAATAAGAATTGGGATAGAATTTGTACCAACAGTTTGTGAATGCACAACTGTAAATGTGTGTATGCCTTCTTCCAAATCTGAGTTCTTCCCAGAAGCTGGTAGTCTCGATCAAGAGTCTTATGTTTTGATTTGTGCGTGAGAAAGGATGCAAGTTGTCAAGACTTTGCTATACAATGTTGCTTCGGCTAAATAAATCGTTGTCACTATACAATATCCAGCTTGCCTGATGCCTCTTCTGCATCATTTTTGGTGCACCTCCCCGGCTGCTGTGACAGGCCGACACTTTAACCAAGCAAAGATGATCCATGTGGGATTCGGGTTTGATGATATATCGATTCGATATCACTTCTTAGAGGCGGCAAAGATATATTTGTCAAAATAAATGTGCTTAAACTATCTTCAACGGTATATTTGTCGTTTTGGCCTTTTGTTTTGGTGTTTAAAATCTTGTCTGTAGCTGCTGAAACTTTTGTTTTTTTGGAGGATTTTGGATAAATCAAGAACAGATATATTTATATTGTTCTTGTGGCAATAACAAAAAAAAAAAAAAAAATCAAGGCTTCATCTTGATCACACACTGACATTCAGGCTTCTACTTGCTAAGAACATGATTTAAGGTGAGTGCAACAATTCTCTCAACCACATTCACACATAAAAACTGTGTAGCCTCTGCAGTATTAATTAAATAAAATACAACCTTTTACATGTTTATCAAAGCTCTCGAGTCTCTGATCTTGCCATTCATTTTGCCTATGTATACATTTGAAGTTTGCAACTCCATTTGAGAGGTTCAAGCAAAAGTTATCAGACCATGCTGACAATTTTATTGAAGGAAAATGGCCTCATCAGCCTTATCAAAAAGAAAATTGCTGATCAAGCTTTTCGGGAAATGCTGGGAGGTCGAAGTAGTTCCGAGGAGTCTGATATCTACAAAGTCGAAATAATACATCAAAGTGAGAAATGATATAACACTCTAGAGACTGCTTCTACACAATTGTAACCACCGAGTATGGCAGTGTCATTGATGCAGACATTATTTTGTTATATATGAAAAAGAATGAAAACAACCGGCAAGAACGGAAAAGTTAAAAGCAGGAGAAGACTTGTCTATATTCTAAATGTACAGATTTTCTTAATCAACACGACAACATGATCAACAAAATTGTTATTGTCCTTGAAACTGTGTTGTCCATGTTGTGGCTGTTGTATGGCAGTGCAGAATAGTATTATTTTCCATAGAACAGTAGATGAGAAAAGAATAGCATATCCTAAAGTTATATAAACTCATTTTGATTAAGATGATTACCAGATATCAGTGGTCACCCTTGGTTTTAGGTTTCATACAGCCACAAAAGGGATTTCTCTTTATCTGTCCGTGATTGTCTCTCCACCCGTAAAGGTAGTCCCTTAAAGCTACTCTATTTCTTCTCGTACTCCTATCCTGCCTATTCTGAAGCTCTTCTTCAAGTTTCATCAAGACATACTGAATCTTCTGCAATTTGAGCTCCAACGTAGCAACCTTCTCTGATCCCTGCTTTGCCTGTTGTGAGATTTGCCTTCTCTCCATGCTGCCTCCATCTTCGGGCTTGATAGTTCTACCGTCGAAGGAAGTGCAATCTTCGGCCAACCTTTTCAATCTACTATTGTTACCTATCAGCTCCAACATGGCTTCTTCTGTCTCCTTTAATTGTTCTTTGATGGAATCATACCCATAACTCGCAGGAAGCTTTTCCCTTTGAGAGCTTATGCTCTTTTTCAGCTCTCCTATGCTTGTTCTAAGGTCAGAGAGTCTCTGAGCATCAGAATCAAGACTTCTGAGGATCCTCTTGTTCCATTCTTGTGATTCCATAGGTCTTTTGTGTAAATCTGACTTATCAATGCTCAACTCACTGGCAAGCATTTTCGGCGGATGGTGATATATTGTTTCTTCCTCCAGAGACTCCATGTTGTTTTCTGTGGAAATTGGTGATGTTTTGCGTGTCTGATTGCTTCTGTTTTTTTCAGCCCTCACCCATGATTGCTCATCTAATTCTGCATTTTCAATACTCAGTTTGTACAAGTCAAATTCCCTCGAAGGCAAAGAGCTTGAGGCCTGATCGAGTTGAATGTCTTTGATCATTTCTCCATACTTCCCTTTGGAATACTCAGCATCATCTTTACTATCATAGACATCAAGTTGTTTAGTGTCACCACCAACTGATTTGGACTTTAACATTTCAACTTCTTGCATTGCTGCCTCCAATGTGGCACTGGAATCAAGTCTTTCCTGCTCCAAGTGTATGACGGCATCCATGATCACCTTTTGAAGAGCTTTGACTTTATCGATCGACTTCTCCAGCAGCAAAATTCCTGCTGCTTTTGTTCCTATATGACTTTCACCAGGTTGGTTGCTATTGTGATGCTGGTGAGACATCAAGGATATATCCTGAAAAATGATATGTATATTATGTTAAAACTTGCAAAATTACAGGTCAAGTTAGCTTGTATGGAACTAAGATCAAAATATTCATCTCGCCAAGGACAGATAAAAAATTTATGCAAAATTGACTGGTGTAGGTTATGGATTAAGATTCTCTTTCATGCAACCTAAAGTTCCAGCATGTATATTACATGGTCCGTCACTCCTGCAGTTGATATTGAGACGTTAACTATAACAATTTTGTCCTTAAAATTGCTTCTTTTATTAAAAATACAATTTGATAATGTTAAGATAAGTTAACTAACATTTTCATTTGCAGATGCATCAGATTTGACCAAGAAATGTTTACCTCTTCCGCATGATTGTTCAACGGTTTAAGCATTGAAATTGACATGATTTGCTCTTCCATAGAGACAACACCATCCCACAAAGATTTTAGCATGAGCAGGTAAACGTCTAAGTCAGCCTTCAGTCCTCTATTTTCTCCCTCCAGGAAATGAAGCTTATTCTTGAGTTCTTCCACATGTTCCTTGCATAAATATAGTTCAGCAACTAGCACCTCCTTTTGCACTAAAGTACTAATCTCGCCTTCTACTATCAGCTCTTGAAACTTCTCATCCTGAAATGCTGCATTGACTAATAAAATCTGGAAGTCGGTCAACATTGCTGCTATTTCCTCTTCACACTGCATAATCTCACTTGTTTCTTTCTGAAGTTCTAAGATCAGAAGTTCCTCCCTGCATACAAGATCTTCAACTCTTTTATGCATTTCATCAATGTCCCTCTTCATCATTGTATTTTCTTCATGAAGACCTCTAATCTCCTCATTCCTATCAGTAACAATTTCTGACAAAGTCAAAACTTTCTTCTCCATCTCTTCTTTCACGAACTTAGTCTCAACATTATCAAGCCGAAGAGTCTCAAGGACTTCATTTAATAACATGTTATTCTCTTGGGTGGATTTGACATTTTGATTTGCTTCTGATAGCTGTGTTTCCCTCTCCATCAATTTGAACTTTACAGCTTCTGCTTGAAGATCTAGTTCGTCAAACAAGCTAGTCACAATGTTCAAATCAAACTCTAAAATCAATAGACGATTTCTCAGTTCTTCTTCCAGATATGTAACAGTGTCAGAAAAGTGCATCTTTTCCCCTTCAAGCACACTGACTTTCTCAATTAGCCTGCCAATCTCACTGGCAAGATTATTTTTAATCACATCAAGAGATTGCAGATCATAACAGAGAGATTTCAAATCCGTGAGTCTCTCATCATTAAGACTCTTGAAGAACAAATGAAGATGATCAAGTCTCATTGCTTCTACAAGAATTTCAACATGCTCCTCTTCCAAAATATTGTACTGCTCCCTTAAGTTGCAGATTTCTTGTGATAGACTCTTCTTCTCTTCAATTTGATTGGTAATCTCACACTGTACTGTCTGGAGAGCTCCTTGCAGATCACTTGAGTGTGTGTGGAGGACCTTAATTTCCATTTTCAGGACTTTTTCCCTTTGGTTGCTTGCTTCCAGTTCTTCCATCAACCGTTCATTGCTTCCTAGAAGTTCATTGTTTTCGTGTCCCAAGGCAAATAGTTCCTCATTTTTAATTTCAAGCTCCCTTTCAAGAGAATTATTCTGCAATCTCAGGTTGACCACATCAATTCCTAAATGCCTCAAAAGAGTGATAAAAACTAATATCTCAAGATGCAATTGTTGATTGTCATCCTTTGCTTCCGAGATAGAATTCAGTAGTTTTTTAATTTCACCGAGGATTATATCTAAGAGAATTTCATCCTGGATTTTCTCCAGAGACATAAACTCATTGTCTTCATTAAGTGCTCTCCATAGAAGACGAATCCCATCGCTTAATTTCTCATTATGCCTTGTTAAGGACATTATGTTTCTCATTTGGATAGGTTTTTCCTGCTCAAGTTTTGAAACTAGTGTTTCTGCACTTCTACATGCCTCTAAACTCTTCCGACCATCAAGGAAAAGAACTGAATTCATTTCTTTCAAATCAGAGAGACTCCTTTGCAGGATGAAATTTTCTACCAAAGATGTAATGAGATTATGCTGTTCAGTTTGAAGCTCCTTATCTTTATGTTGGTTTTCCTCTTGCAGGAGAGAAATTTGGTTCTCTGAAGTGCCTTTCAGATTCTTGTATGTTTGGGCAAGAGTTTGGTGCTGCTGCGTTTCTAATTTCAGGATATCTTCAAGGTCCTTGACCTGATTGATCATCAGATCCCTTTCTCTTGATAAGTTCAAGTGATTGTCCATAACTTCTGCATACCTGCTCTCAAAATTTTCCAGATTCATGGTAATGGCTTCCACCTGATAAGAACACATCAAAATCAGGATTGTTCGGTAGAAGAAAAGATTGATCAATAGTTAGTAGATAAAGGTAGGGAAGTAATTATACTTCCAACAAAGATTAGAATAAACAAATTACAGACTAGACAAATTACTAATCAGAGCAATGCAAATTGTGCTTGTTCATCTGTGTTTGTTGTGTATGACAAAAACACATGCAGTTCAAACACGCCATGTGAGATATTTTACCTGAGATTCAAGAGCATGCTTTTCAGCAAGAAGACCCGAGTTCTGATCATTGAGATAGTGGCAGGATTCTTCAAAGTCCTTTAATTTTGATCTCAAACTCTCAACTTCCATGGTTGCATCAGATAAAGAGTTCTCCAACACAGTATTTTTAGCTGAGAGCTTCTCCACATCTTCCGAAAGAATCTTTACTTCTGAGGCAAGTGAATCCCTCTCACCCATACAATTGGAAATTTCACTTTTTAGAGATTCATGTGTATTTTCTAGTGCTGAAAACTTTTCTCTTAAAACTTCTATCTCAAAGTTTGCATCTGAGAGAATCCTTTCTAAGATGATATTCTTCTCTGAGATTTTGTCCATATCTTTCAGCTTCTCCACAAGAAGCTCATTTTCAGCCTCATGCTTCTTACAAATTTCTTTCAGCTCATTATTTCCATTTTGCAACTCCTTATTGGCTGCCTGAAGGGACTCCACACAATTGCTGACAGCCTGCATTTCCTCCTTGAGATCTTGATACCTTTGTTTTAGATCAGTGTTCTCTTCTTTCACCCGGCAAAGCTCTTGACGAAGAACTTCCTTTTCTCCTAGGAGGAACCCAATTTCATCTTCAAGTTTCCTTTTCTTCTCTTTCAAAAGTATTATTTCGTCTTGGAGACCTTTTGCCATCAGTGTAGACTGAAGATTCTGTTCATTTAAGCCATTATTTTCCCCCTTAAGTCTACATATTTCTTCCTCTAGACCCATATTACAGAGTTCCACATTCCTCGACTTCTCCATCCCTTCTTGAATCTCTAGAGCTAAAACTTTTGCCTCTTCCTGAGATTGGATATACTTCTTTTCGCTTTCGACAATGGCCATTTCAGCTTCCAAGCATCTCTGGTACTTGTCTTGTAACATAATTTGGAGCTTCTCCAACTCTTCTTGCTTCTGATTTATTTCAAGTTCTTGTGTCATTGCTTTCTTTTCTAGTGTGTCTAAATCCAGTTGTAGTGATTGATTAAGCTCTTCAGTATTTTTCAGCTTCCTAACTTCCTTTAGCATGTCATCACTGAGATTTTTCAAGTCAGTTTGTGCATCTGAAAGTAAAAGTTCCAGACTTGATATTCTTTCCACAGATATCTGGTGTTGAAGAAAAGATGTATCTCTCTCAGAGTTCAATTTAGCGAGGGATCCCTTTAAACTTTGAACTTCATTTTCAGCATTATTAGCACGCTTAGATTCTTCCATTATCTGATCTTTCAGAACATGGATCTCAGATGACAACTGGGAAATATCTTGTTGTAGTATTTTTATCACATTGCTTGCATCCCGTTTCACTGTACCCTCTTGGTCATGATTATCTGCTTCATTCTCAAAGTTTTTATACTCATGCTCCATATTGTTTGAACCTTTTCTTACCTTTCCTTCATGTGACTTTCCACGTGCTGCCCCCTCACTAGTTCCAAGAATCTCATTGTATTGCCTGGGACTTGTTTTCCTAGACAATGCATCACTTTCTTCAGCATGCAGCCAATTTCTTTTTTTGACATGAAAATCTGATACTGATCTGGGGGCATCCTTCTTCAAGTCATCAGAGTCAAATAGTCTACGAACTGGCGAAGGCATTTCAGGAGTTTGTGGCTCTACCTCATTGCCAGATAAACCATAGTGTGACTCATCTGACAATGATGGAATTTGATTTGGAAATGCCTCTATCATTGTTTGATGAGCATGGCGGAGCACTCTTGTTGACTGTTCATATCTTTCTGCTAAAGCTCGATATCCTCGATAGAACTCCTCCACCAGTTTCTTAAGCTCGGGGCGCTTCTTATAGTACATCTCTGCTCTCCTTGCAAAGGAATCAGCATCTTCTTCTAAGAGCTTGATCATTGCCTTGACCTTCATGTCCATGTCTGTTAAGTGCAACCTTCTTAGTTAAAATTTTAGAACAATCAACAAGATCAATACAAGTCAAAGTTTAAATGTTCCTTGCAAACACATTTCAGTAAATACCAACGGGAAAAAGCAGTCATAATTAAAGAAAATGTTCATGAGAGAGTGCACCCTTTTTGTTCGATTTTCATAACAGTAACAAGAGCTACGTTGTAGAGGAAAGTTACAGACCTTTAAGATTATCCTGAATCCATTTCGAATTTTTTGGGCTGATATGATTGCCCCACCATGAGTACAGGTGTCCTGGTTCGGTGTGCACAAAGGTAGCCATCGAAAACAGCAGGCAAAACAGAACTTATTCTGGCCTTGAAAAGGAAAAGAATCTTGATCCAAGCTAGAAGAAGAGAGCTAAACAAAACCAAGGAGCCTCAATTCAAACGGACTCCTGGTTTGTATTCTGTATAGCGGTCTACCTAGCAAGTCGTATTGACATGAGCATTAGAATGTTGTTCCAGAAAATAATATATTTGATCTCAATTTGAGAAAGAGTATAAACAGTACCTTATGTACAAATTGGACTATGGAACCAGATTCTAATGTCTTTGCTTGGACAGGAGAACTATTACCTGTTGTACATCAGATACAACCAAAATCATCATACCGAAGCAGGTGAAAACCCCACTGGAGAACATAAGAGCAGGTAACAACAAAATAATTAACACTACTTCAAGAAGAAACCCATCAATAACCTCAGTGTCCTACCCACAAAATTCATTTAATTTTCCTTGATGAAGTATTACATCAACAAGAGTATCACGCTAGCCCTAAATACAGCATCTTTGAACACACATAAAGATGGGTTTTGAGAGCATCAACATATTACGAGGAAATGGATATCACAGAGACGAGAAAAGACGAACACCCTTAAGAAAAGAATAGAACAGGTGCGGATTTACATAGATATGTCAAGAATTCCACAAGGTGGAACAAACAAATCCAAAAAGGTGTTCCTTTTGCGAAATAGGGATTGCAAATCAGATGACACCACAAAGGGGAAAAGTTTTGACGGTCAATCTGAGAAAACCTTACCTATTGAAAGAAGAAGAAAACTAGAAGATCTAATTATCCACCTAAAACTCCGCCGAACACACACCACCACCAAGAAAGGCAAAAGAACCGACTCTCATAATCAAATCAAAACAAACCCTACAGAGTGAAACTTAACGAAGCAAACGTTGGTAAAGACCTTAGTGCGCAAGAACACAAGACTCCACAAGGAAAGAACCCATCACCACAGAAACGACCGGAAGATCACGAGAACGTGAAGAAGATCCAAATTTTATTGGTTCCACCTTTTTCCTTCACAAAAAGGGATACAAACCCACTTTTTAGGGCCAAAAAACAGAGTTTAAGAAAGGGAAAATACCGAATCAGCGAAGGAAAACGGATTCGACTCCCCAGAAGCAGCTGTGATGAACAATCCCAGCTGCTCTTCTCGCCCACCCTCAACCCATCTTCGTCTCCCACTCCACGCACCATATACCAGCGTTTTCTGCGCTGCCCACAGAGGAAAGGCTGAATCAGAGGGCAAGAAGAGGGGAAAAAGAAACAGGAACCGTGTTGGAAGAAAGAAATAGGTGGTCTTCCCACCTCACTGATTCAGTGGTTTCCTATGCGATTTAGGTTTACCATGGGAGAGCAGAAAGGATTGGGAAAGGTAGGGTTTTTATTCCCCAGGTTACAGAGGGTTGCATTGGGTGCAGGCAATAGGAGGAGGTCATTCACACTTTCCATGCTTGATTCTTGTTCCTCTTTTGAGTGTTTGGCTTTGCTTCTTTGTCTTGGGACAAAGGTCAAATGTCTGCCCTTTTGAATTCCTTTTTTTCCCTCTTTTTAGGGTTTTGACATATCTATTCTTTCAGAAATTGGTAACAAAAATATTTATTGCATTACTTTTTATATTTATATCCCTCCAAATATTAAAATATCCTCCTCAATATATATTCCTTCCATTATTCATCCAAAAAATTCAGGTTAACATTAATTAGTTTGTATTTTTAAATATATTATAATATGTTATCAAAGTATGATGATGCTATTTAAAATTCCATTAAGTTTATATACATATATATATATATATATATATATATATATATAATATTATCAAAGAATGATATTATTTCAAAGTCTTAACTAATATAATTTCTCCTAGGAGGTCACAATCAAAGGCTTCTTGTTTACTATGCACCTTCCAAATATTTCCTTTTGTTTTGATATAGTCTAAGATGAATATTTTAAGAGGCTTTGTATCTAATTTTTCATATTTATGTCCCTAATGGAAAAAAAAACTCAAGATTTTTTTTTCCCAAAATTTTGTTAGATTTTATTAATTATGTAAAAATGGAGTCAGAGATGTGAACTTCTTTTATAATATTTTTTGTTTGAAGACTATATTTTGTGAATATAGAAAAATTTCTCTTGCAAAGAGAAATTGAAAAAAGAATGTTTGATATCACAAGTTTAAGATAATCTATGATATGGGTTGATCTTACATAAAAATTTCTTCTACTATATCCTATGGATCTAATACATGAATCGTTGTACAAAAATATTTTAATGCCTGAAAACAATTAAATGAAAACTGAAATGAGGTTTGATAGTCAGTTTTTAATGGTGATGTGATATATCACAAATTAAAAGTCAATTTCAAGGAAAAACACTAATCCACAGCAATGGCTTGTCTATTCTCTTTGAGACTCACTGGACTTTTAATGGGATGTCTTCATCAACACTTACTTTTGAGTAGATTGGACCACTTGAGTAATTAATGACAAATCAATGTATCCATCTGTGGACTTTTACCTAATTGATAATTCATTCATAGGAAGAACAAGAAGTAATCTAATAGAAAACAATGGTAGATATCTATCTAAGTTGCTCAACTGAATGTTAGGGGCAAGGTTCTTGATCTTAGAGCTAGACTAAGAAGACAACAAGTGGGATGGAGGTGGAAGAGACTGTACCTAATATGTGATTCACTTTTCAGGAAGAACCATAAAGAAATCTAGTATATAGGATGGAGGTGCAGGAAATTGTTCTTATGTGTAACAAGATCTTGATCACACTTTTCAGGAAGAACCATAAGAAATCTTCTAGACTGACTGTCAGATGCATGCTATAATTCTTAGAGCTGGATTAAGAAAATACAGCAGTAGGATGGAATTGCAAGAAACTGTACTTGTTATTGGATTCAAAGACCTTGATCACTGGACTTCACTTTTCAGGAAGAATTCTAAGAAATCTAACAAATATCAATAGCAGAAATGGATCTACTCTTCAAAGCTGAATGTTACATGCATCTCAGAGCTAGAACAAGAACATACAGCAGGTAGGATGGAGTTGCAGGAAGTTGTACTTGTTTTGTGATGCTATCTTGATCATTGGCTTTCACTTCTCAATTTTCAAGGTGAGATTCATTCTCCCATAGGGGGGGAAGCAAAAAGAATGTTATTCAACCTTTTAATCTCTTCAACATGGAACTTTTTGTCCTTTAGGCTTTGGAGGTGGGACACCAAGACATGGCTGCCAGCCGCCCAAACACACAGCACTACTCATCATGTTTCAGAGCATCTGTCAAAGAAAAGACATTGGCATAAAGAAAAGAAGGATGTAGATGTTCACCACTGCAAAGTTTGGCCTTATTTGGCTGAAGATTGCCATGAAATGTCAAGATAAGAGAAAAGAGTAACTCTGACATATTGTTGCCTTGTGACACCTAAGGAGATAAATCTGTCAAACATCAGCATTCACAAGTTCAACAAAAAATAGATGAAGTTGTTGATGATGATATTGTTGGTTCATAGAATTGCAGTAAGAAGATAATGTGGCCATTTCCAAAAGTTTGACAAAGATGGTTAAGGCACCAATGCAATTAATATTTATACAAATGAAAAGAGAAGCATCAAAACCTTGGTATATGTTCTGCTATGATCCAAACTTTTAGCTGTTATCTTTTGGAGCATTTCTTGGAGGGAGGGCTGACACTTTCATTATAAGTATCCTTACAGTTAGGTAGAGGGTTCCTTCTACCAAACAGGTATGGAGTGCTGATCTACCATAGTCTGCAGTCCACTTGAATTTTGTAGCTTTGTGCTGATTGAGCCTTTCTTAGTCCACAAACACTTGAATTTTAAACACAAAAATAGATTTATTTGATGAATGAAAAGTTTCAGATCCAATTCTGTGGTTGCTTATGTTGGATGGGGTTACTTCAACTTGAAACCTATTCTGGATCAAGGCATATGTATTATTCCACTAGCACACATATCACAAGGTTTCTTCACTTGTAGGGAGTGTGAGAATATGGGGATAGAAAATAATGCACATGAGGTCTTAGTGAGCCCACAACCTAATCATTCTCTCATTTTTATAAGAGGCAGGAAGCACTGCCTGTGTCAGCAAATGCTGGATGAGCATTCCCAAGAAGGTTGTTGGATCTACAGAAAGAACAGCTAAGCCACCACAGGAAAAGCCATCCTTTTTGCTCAAGGGACACAAGTTGTGGCAATGGCCTCACATGTGCAGCTACACCACAGTTCCACATGGATTTTGATCTCACCATGTCATCAAGAGTCAATTTCACCATATCAATTTTGATTTCAGCTCAGACCATTTTTAACTCAGTAAATCAAGTTGCTCATGTAGCTGAACAAGGAAATATTTTCTCCCTAGTCTTACAGAAGAAATCATAATACTAAATATATATAAAGTAGGGAAAAAAGAAAGCTCCAGAAAATGAAGAGCTAATTATTTGCTCATTCCAAGGAAGATCTTATTAGGTGAAAAAAACACAAATAAACATAATAAAAATTGTTTTTAGAGCCAATTTTGAAACCAAGTCCCAACAGTGGCTTATTTCCACAGTCCACCACTGCACATTAAACTATACCTTTACCTTTCAAAAGAAAGCTCTAAGCTGACACAAGTGGATGCATGCATCTTTAACAATGACTGACTTCCTTCAGGTCATCAAGAGCATGAAGAGCTCTGGTGTTTGATATGGCCCAAAGATTAGTCTTCACAAGAACAGATCAGGAAGGACAAAAAGATGACATAGTTCCTATCAATCCTACTCAGTATTACACAACTGACAAAGATGGTGGGGCTGGTGGAGGCATTCTTGACAACAACTTACATCACATGCAGCAACTGATGTTGAAAGATGTGAAAACCCAATGATGTTATGGCAATAAGATGATATCAAACATAAGAACAGAAAAGCTAAGAGCTAAGAGAAGTTTTGAGCTCACCAACTATGTCAAGAAATAGCCCCTTATCATGATGAAGCAGGTGTCTAAGCAAGTAGCCATTTGAATAAAAGATCTATGTGATACAGGAAGAATTGAACTTAAAATATTCCATTTATCTAAACCTTTTGAGTTCATGTGACTATAAATTTTTTGGTCATTCATGGCTGAGAGCAGACAAGGATATGATAAGCATACAGATGTGTTTCTAATTGTTATTCACATAGAAGTAATAAATAAAACAGTAGCATCCTCTCAACCAGCTGGAACATGAAGGAATCTTGCATATAGCAGAACACTGTAGCATTGGATTTTGAGACATTTTTAGGGGAAATAGGGAACATGAAGCCAACCAGTCACATCTCACAAGCAAATAGGCAATTCCATTATTTCAGTGTTGTAGGGTACAAATGACCCAATTGTTGCATCACAGAAATGCAACAAGTAACAAATTATCAACAAGGAAGGCAATAGAGTTCATAACTTAATTTGTCTATTAGATGGCTTGTGACCAGATCTTGACTGTTCAATCAAAATCTAACAGCCAGCCAGAGATCTTACATCCATTACATCTGGTCTCATGTTTCTAGATTCTTTTGGCGAGACCTTACAATGTTGAACATGATCAAATAAAGCCATGCATGACCTTCAAATCAGAGCCCCAATTCCAGACCACAGATGGTTAAGTAGACACTAAGACATTATACTTGAATGTCTCACTGTGATTTTGACATAGCAAGTCCACATCAGAAATAAGCTGAAGACTAAATCTTAGGCTATAACTCAATCTCATTCAAAATTGTTGGTCAGGCTGTTCCACACAATTCATTCATCAAAGGATGAGCACTGAGTTGTGCATTCAACCTTCCAGTTGAATCATTCTGATTCCGGTATATGAATGAGATTTCCATTACATGATTCATGCACAAGGTAACAGGTAAATCTTATGTGCTTAACCAAGAGATATCCAGATATGTCTAGGCAAAAGCACAACTGGTCAACTAACATAGGGGAACAGATGCATAATTACAAGAAACATGTCCCAGAGCTTGTCTTGTGAGAATGCTGGGATTTTGCAGAAAGGAAGATGTCTCGTAATCATGAATCAAAACCCGAATAGATGCCACTCTCACGCAATAGCCTCTTCTCCTCTTCAACATAGTTCTTCCCCCTGCTGGCCTGACCAAGATCCCTCTTGCGCTTCTCTTTCTGTGAGAAGGATAAGTTTTTTTCCTTCCTGCTTGCCTCTAGGTTGTTCCTCACACTCGAGAGCTTCTCACCTTGAGCCACAGCATCTCTAGTGCGCTCACGCTCTTCAAATGACTCCTCTGTGATGTTTTTAGATGCATTAGCCCCTTTGCCAGTTGACCAGGACCAGTCTTGCTCTTTGTCCTCGACCCTTGGAGGAGGCACCTTCAGAACAGAGGGTCCACCATGGTACCCATGCTTGCTTAGAGCGTCAAAGTTCATCCCACCATGCTTCTTCTT